ACGTCAGGCTTTCTTGGCCGAGACAGATTATGTAGACTTGTTTCATTTCAGTTGTGGAGGTGATTTTTGCCATAACCATTTTAGCCAGGAAAGACAGAGGAAAAAAACTATTGATACTCCTGGACCTGATTTGCCTGCCTGAGATGGATGCCTGAGCACACGGCTCTACTATTTTGACCAGCTAGCATCAGAAGGTGGTATTGTGGGGACCGGCTGCTTGGCATTTATACACTGGGGATTTGGAGTACAATTATCACCAGTATGCTACCATCTGGGAACTACCCCCACATGGAAGGAACCTAAAGGGAACTACCCTCAACAGGAATCTACCCCTACTTGGAAGCAACCCAACACTCAATATATCCCTGAATTCAACCAATTTCTGCCAATCTCTCAAAACAGAGTCCAATGGATTAAAGACCTTACAACCTTATCAACGTTTGAATATATGGCATATAGACAACTGCATATGGACATATTTTTAGATATTTGGAAATCTTTAATAGATGCTTATCTGTAGAACTGCCTCTGTTGTTCATATTGTTGTATTACTTTTCTGTTTGGGGGATGTAATTATTTTTAATTAAAAATATTTAAGAGGACTTTGACTTCCAGTTTAGAAAAAAGACTGAGGGGACATTATAAAGGTTATAAAATTATGCATGGTCTAGAGAAAGTGGATAGAATATTTCCTCCCTCTACAATTTTAGAACTTGGGGGACCAAGTAAAACTATTGGGAAATGGGCTCAGAACAAGCAAAAGGAAATACTATTTTACTGAATGAGCAATGAAATGATGGAATTTGCTGCCAGCAGACTCAGCGATGGCCACATGCATAGATAACTTTAAAAGGGGTTAGACAAAAGTCATGGATGAGATGTCCATCAATGGCTACTAACCATGCTGTACAAAGGGAACCTCTATATACAGAGGCAGCAAACTTCTGAATGCCCTTGCTAGGAGGCAGCATCAGGGGCATTGGCCTCGATGCACCATTTTTTGGGGGAGGGTCAAACAGAGCAATGGGTTGTCTACTTTGTGAAAGACGGTGCTGGACTAGACAGACGGCTGGTCTCATCCTGCAAGCTCTACTTATTTTCTTATGCTTCTGGAGGAAATATTGCAGGAACTGAACCTATGCATAAGTGCCAAATGCAAGATGCCATACATGCAGAGAAATGGTGATGTACAAAGCTCCAGTACCCTTCTATGTGTAGAGGACTGCAGGATTGGTTTAACATATTAAGCAGCTTTGTGATTGGCAGCATTGTGGAATGTTCTTGTGTGTTTCATCGCCATTTTATAGAACCTAGGATAAATTCATGTCCTATTTTAAGAGGAGGCCCGCAGCAACTTCGCTGTCTTAGCATAACAGGTTCTTGCGTCTTGAGTATGTACATTTGTATCACCATATACTAACCCAGGTTCAGCAAGCTACAGAACCCACTGAGACTGTTCAGACAAATGAAGAGGCCCACACTTGTATTCATTGCAGGCTAGCTAGCAAAAAGTTTTTTGAAATGAGCCCCTGAAGTACCTTAATGAATCATTCCTCAAACTCCTTTTGTCTTGCAGGCAATTATTTCAAAGAACACATTTGTATGTTTTGACCTTTATAGCAGATCTGGATTTTTAGGGGGAACTTCTTGGGTGGCATTAAGCAAGCCACCGCCACTCATAGCTCCTTGCCCTGGGGGAAAAGCCAGCCCTGTGTAATGTTTATCTACTCTGTCTTTCTTCCATAGGTACCACTTTAGCATCAAATGATAGATTATGAGGATGATTACCTTTGCTTGGCTACGTTATTTTGGATGAGGCATGGGATGGTATTTCCTGCTATGGGCTCACAAACATTTTAGTTGATTTTGGTAAACAAGCAAAGGAGTTGATTAGAAATCCAAACCACCACCTTTCAGAAATCAGCTGCCAGATTTATTAATCTACCTGGAAAAATGTGGAATAAAAACAGAACTTGAAATAAACTCCTTAAGGTACAGTTTCAAAGGGCTAATCAATTCCATAAAACAATTTTTATCACTTTTTCTGGGAATTCATTCAATGGTGGGTGAATTGTTTATTTTTGTTCAGTGAATCACTACCTTATACAATATATATATTTAAAACATTAGACATTTGAATCAGTCTTAGGCCCTCCCTCGTCAAGTAACCCAACACCATTCACCAAATATACATCTGTTCCTGACAAGAAACACTCTACTCTGATATTGACAAAATCAAAAGCTGTCACAGAACTTTCCATTAAAGTGGGCCACCCACTGGGGCTCTGTTTTAATGAAAAAGTATAGCTATGTGGATCAGGATTTTTTTTCATGAGTGGGGAAGGGCCGTGGCTCATTGGTAGAGCATCTGTTTGGCATGCAGAATGTCCCAGGTTCAATTCCTGGCATCTCAAGCTAAAACAACCAGGCAGTAGGTCTGCCTGAGACATAGGAGAGCTGCTGCCAGTCTGAGTAGACAATATTGACTGTGATGGACCAAAAGGTGTGATTCAATATAAAGCAGCTTCATGTGTGTGTACATACCCTACTCCTCTTTCTCTAACCTTGGGGTTTTTCGTATTTTCTTCCTTCCGGGAACTCTTCCACGTTAAAGTGACTGCCTACATCCCGGTGTCCTGCAGATGATTCTGAGGCATACTCTTGGGAGTGCATTCTGTTCACACACTAAGCCTCAGTTACTCTATGCGAAATGGAAAGTGCACCTGAGAACTTTTTGGCTGTGCACTGCATAGAGATTTTTTAGTCTTCTTGAAGGAAAGCTTATCACCTATTACTGATTTATTTTCTCACTGACAATAACATGGCAAGTTTCTAAAGCAGCCCCAGAGTTCCCTGGAATACCACCTGAAAGCCACTGGTGTACACTGGTGGTCTTTTGTTCATGTATTAGCCAATTGAGTACCAGTGCCAGACGAAGGGCCTTTGCATTGAGGCTTATAGAGGGGGTATAGCATCGCCTGGCGTTACGTGCACATTCATTTTCTGCTTCTAGGTGTTTTAGAATGCATACCCAGTGTGCTTTTTCCAATAGCTGTGGTTTGTAGTGGCTAACATTTGTTAGTTTGAAATGAATTGCATAATAAATCATTTATAGCTTTACTGGTTTCCTGACTGACACTGAGTGCAAAGTAAATCACTACCTCAAGGCATCTTTGATATCATGTCATTTACAATGAAACATTATTTCTCTGGCTAATGATTATGGAGTCAACTCCCTTCCCCCTTCTTCCAGAGTTGTTAGCATTGGGGAACAAAGTGATGAGGAGTCACTTCTTAAAATAACCACTGGACAGCTCAAATCTCATTTTTTTCTTTCCTTTCCAGACTAGGAAACGCAGTGTTTCGGAAAAGGTGCTCATAAATATTTAAAACATTTTTTCTCTCTTTTAATTTTATATGTAGAATAAGGGGTGTGTCTTGTTTTCCAACATTACCCTTTCTCAAAATTAAAAAAATAAAAACCATTAAAAATCAAAAAAGACCCCTGTAAATCGTCTTTCAACCATATCTGATCACATTTACATTTAGTGTCTAAAACAAAGTTGATTGATAGCATCAGTGCCAGCACTACAACATCATACAGCATCTTCATTGTATTCTTTGACGGTTCATATAAGTCTCTGCTCCACTGAAAGTTATAAAAGATTCCACAGAGCTCCTCTTAGCAAGCTGACGCTTACCGTTCCATTTCTCATTGCGTGTAAAAGCTGCTTATAGCACAGCTGTGGCATAAGCTATTTTGTTTCTAAGCAATAAATGGTTCAAGTCATCTATTTTGTCCTGAAATGCTATCTGTAGTTACAGCATCGCTTATAAATGGGCATAGTAAATTCAGCAAAGAGAATATTACAGAAAAAAGACAGCAGCAGAAGCATTAGCATTATCTAAGTATGTATATATGTTATCAACATAACACAGCGGTAAAAGGCTTAAATGCATATTAATGGGTACCATGTCTAAAAATTCCTAAAGTACCTATTTAGTGTATTGGATATTTTGCTCAAGGAGTGCTTGCTGTGGCCTAAACAGCATAATGAGATATGTGACCTAGTACAGTTAATTCCTATTGATTAAATAACTTATTTATGTATCAAAGTAAATGGAGGGGATGCTATTAAGTCTTCTCTTCTGTGATCACAATCCTATATTTAATGTTGAGATGATATCCATAATGGTCCAGCACATGTAATTACTATACTCAGATAGATCTTGAAAGGTCTAAAAAGATCAGATGTGCTGTACTTGCATAGCAAGATGGCACCAGATACAAGAAGCTAAGCTATAACTCTGCAATTTGCAGTTTTAAGTTACGAATTGTGCTCTTCAGTCAACAGTGAATGCCTTCCTTAATGACTCATTAAAGAACACAAGGCAGCATAAAGACGTGTAGACACCCAAAAGAACCAAGTGAGGGCAAATCAAGATTAAGAAGGTTATTAAAAAAAACAAAAGACTCACACAGACAGAAAGGCTTCGAGGTGCTAGCTTCTAAAGAATCCTGCAACACAGGTCATTGGTTGTCCTTCTAAAACAAGGAATATAGTGTGCCAAAAGCAAAAAAAAAAAAAAGTTTCCATGACAGATAATTCTCCCAAAAGTGTACAAATGGTTATTTAACATATCTAGAATTAACTGTACTATGGATACCCAGAGAACATGTACAATATTTTTAAGCCAATATGAAACAAAAACAGACATGATACAGCTTCATTGTACTTAAAACCTGTATGTTCTCTTCCCAATCTTAAGGAGGAAAAAAAGGCAAACAAACAAAAAAGCAGACCAACCCTTTCCCCTCCTGTTACACAGAATAAATCGTTAAATCCCAATCTTCCCCATTCAGATAAAGTGCACTGTCCATGGCAGACCATAGGAGTAATGCAACAGGAAAAGCCCCTTATAGTACTACTTTATTCTCATTTAAAATTTTTGTATTTCCCCCCCCCCCTCTTTTTTACAAAACCAACTGAAGGGGAGTCAGCTTTCCTCTCGGTCTCATGAAAGAGGAAAAGCGCAGGAGAAGGGGGCCAGGAGTGTTTTCAGTGTCACTGCAGTTAATACACATAGCCTTCGTTATAAGGGTGGGTATTACAGCAGCCCCCCTCTTGCATGTAGACCAAGCTCTCATCAAAATGGGACAGAGGCACCGTGTCCTCTTCGTTGATATGGCGCTCCATGTCAGTCTTCAGCAAGGGGCGCTGGTTATCTGGAAAGGCCATGGAGAAGAGGGCTTCTGGGTCACAAACAAACTTGTACACGTATCTCTCTCCGGCGACCTTGGAGGAGGTGGAGAAACAAAGACACAGTTTGTAAAAGGTGGAAATGGAATTTCATTAAGCAGAAACGGAATGTAATGTGTTTTCCCACACTCCACAAAAGAGAGCGACTTGTGGGGACAATACTGGAAACAAACAACAAAAAAACATGAATTAAGGTTCTGCAAAGCCTTTATGAGCTTTCGAGTGGTTGTAGAAGAAGGAATTCTACTATTACAATATTTCATCGTAACAGTCTTTTTTTGTGTTTTGTCAGCTTTCCTGAATTGAAGCAAACACGCAACAACCTGACCCCATGGCTTACAACTCGATCTCTGGCATGCATGGGATCTGAATGGCTCTGCTGCCAGCTGGCCTGTGTGGAGACAATGGGCACACACACACCCCGCCGCAGGCCCTGGCATGTCATACAAGGGAGTACGGCTACTGTGGGACAGAAGCGGTGTAGGATTTTTGCCCAGTCCTCTGCACAGATAATGCGCCACGCATTACTATAATGAAGAAAGAGACCAAGATTTCTTGAAGAGGAAATTAGAGCCACCTTGCTCTTTCTCAGTTTTTAGGAACTGGATCACATGCCAGACGCAGTGGCTTAATTCTCTGGAGGAAAGACAGTGGAGGACAGAGAGTTGCTCTCAATGTTTCTCCCTATTGTTTCTCCTTCGTTTAACAGAGAATGGATAACTTTGTTAGAGGTTCAGACAGGCATAAACAACCACCTGAGAAACATGGCTAGAGGCTTTCTTAGCCCCACAAGTTTATTCTGCTTGGCTCCAGCAGAGTATTTAGAATTTTTGACAGAACCTGCCTTACATAGAGCTAAAAGCTTGTTCTATGTACTCTATTTTAAACAGGTTTGAGCTTAGAGCAGCTTTAAGGCCAATATGGAGAAAGTTTAATAAACGAATACATAAAGTGAGAATTCACTGGTGGACCATGCTTAAATATATGTTTAAATACACACAGAACAGCTGACACAAACCCTGTCCAAGTGTGCAATTTCATGATTTCCATGTATGTGAGGATCAAATTCTGCATGTCAATCCATGGATTCTGAGCTAATAAGAAGGGGAAAACCCCTAAATCATAAACAATAAACGGCAAATATTTAGAGCACTTGCCTCTATTGGTAACACACCTGTTGGACCAATTTAGTGTGCAACTGCAACAGATGGTTTATAGATTAACATGTAACATTCCAATAAGATATCACGGCAACCTTAACTGCTCACCTTTTGCATGATGCCCTTCTCATAGTAATAGCGAAGTGAACGGCTAAGTTTATCATAGTTCATAGCCGGCCTGTTTTTCTGAATTCCCCAGCGACGTGCCACCTGTCACAGGCAGAGATTAATGTTGATTTGTTAAAACAGACAGTTTAGTGTTGATCTGTTAAAAGTGATTAACAAGCAGGCCTTATCATCAGCTTTATTTTTAATAGGAAAAGGAAACCTCGAGGTCAAACATATAAAAATGCAGGCTTTCCTAATCCAGATTTCTTTTGCTGAAACATGATTTATTCCACTTTTAAAAACCCCTCTAACTCCAGCTTTCCCACTTTGCTTTTTATAGAACCCCCCCTAGAAAATAAACCAGAGCGAACAAGAACGTAAATCAAATTTAAACTGGCACACATACACAAGACTCTTTTTCAACTTGTTTTTACCACCACTTGTAAGTACCAAAAGAAGATGATAATAAGAGTCTAGAAAAAGCCATGGGGGTGGGGGAAGTGTTGCAAGATGGAGGTTTTGAAGGAGAAGAATATGGCAACATCACTGCAAAGGGTAAGCTATTTACAGGCAAAGGAAGAAACAGTGAAATAGCAGTAATTAGGGGTGTGCATTCTGTATAAACCTGACCGAATAAATACTCAAAAAACACCTTATTGGTATTTTTTGGGTATTTATTCAGCTGAATACAGATTCTCTAATCTGATTCAACTATTGATATAGCTGAGCCTGAATAAAAGCGGATATTATTTGGCTTTTATTTGGGTACAACTTGGAGAAGCCATGTTGTGCAGTGGCACAGGCTGGCTTGGAGAAGGGATTTACCTCTCAGTAAGTGAACTCAGGCATTTATTTAAAACATCTCTTTAAATGCCTGAATTTGCTTGCCAAGTCATGCCACCACTGCAACATGGGTCGGCTTGGAAAAAGGATTCCGTCTGCAAGCCAGTCCACACTGCCACCACAGTGTGACACAGCGAGTTAACTTAGGCATATAAAGGCGAGTGGACTCAGGCATATAAAGGCATGTACATGGCTTTTTTCCTCCATTGGAAACCATGGAGGATGGGGGGTCCCTTCTTTGGGGGCCCATAGAATTGGACCTCCGGTCCAATCTTTTTAAAACTTGAGAGGGGAGGGGTTGAGGAGAGGCACCAGCAGCTATGCTGCAAATTTGGTGCCTCTGCCTCAAAAAAAACAGACCCTCCCAAGCCCCAGATTGATTCCATTATAGCCTATGAGGAATGGTTCCCGTAGGCTACAATGGAGCCGAGGGTGTAAGGGAGTTATCTCTCAGCAGATTATGATAATGGAGATAATGGAGTTCTCTGTTTAGGTGGGCGAGGGAACTCCAAAGGCATTTAATACCAATATGGTATTTCCCGGGTATATTTTTGGCTCATATAGATCCGAATGCCCACCCCTAGTCCCAAATTCAATCCCAGCATCTCTAATTAAACGGTTATGACATGAAAGACCTCTACTTTGGACCTTGGAGAGCTGCTGCCAGTCAGAATACACAGTACTGACTAAGATAGGCCAAGGATCTGACTTTGTAGATGTCAGCTTCATATGTGTGTTCATCCACATCTGGGTCTCAGTGGATTGTGCGTATCTGAACACCACATAAAAGGCTGTTTGCATTAGGATTCAAACTGTGTGTGATGCTGAGGATCCCTGACTGCATCCAGTGGTTTACAAATTAGCATCAGAAAGAAGTGGGGGGGATGGAGAGATGGGTTATAGACTGGGACTATGGTGTTGGGAAGGGGGAGGTCTCTTTCCCCTCACAACCATTATCCAATTAAAACTGTCCCTCTAGATTACTTTTAACCTCAGAAAAGGTATACATAATATAGGTGCTTTCCTTTTCCTCCCACATGAGCTAAAAACAGTATGGGCTGTGAGGGGGTGATTACGGAAAATAGTAAAGGGGAAGGGTGAGGAACAATTAATGAATTCCATTCCATTGTCCCAATCATATTAAGGGCCTTCTCCCACAGCTTCTATTGGGGGGGGGGGGAGAGACGTCAAGGGATTTGCTTATAGAACACCAGGATCATGCATAGTTTGGCCTCAATTCAAGAAATTATCTGTACAAACGCACAAGAGATTCTCTGATCTCAGTGATCTTTCCAATTTTTGAGGGGAAGAGGGACATATCATGCACATCATGAAAACTACATATCCAATTCATTCTGTTCTCATATTTCATCCTTTATGCATTAGTGGGCATGTGTACTCCCAAGGCCTGGTCCAAGACCCACAAGAAGGACATTTTCTGTGAGCTCAAATATCTGAACCAGGCCACAGTCAGCAGAGCCGTCTTAAAAAAATAAATAAGCTCCTTAATCTCACTAACTGTTGTTTGGATAGACAAAAAAAGTTAAATAATACACCACTTCTCCAGAATAATGAAATGTGTATAGGTAGTTTATTGCAAATGGCCAAGCTTACCTCTTCTGGTTCAATAAGCTTGAATTCCATGCCTCGGCCAGTCCAGGCAATGAAGTGAGAGTTTGATGGATCATCAAGAAGAGCTACTAAAAACTGCCACAGCTGGAGGGAGCCCCGCCGCTGATACGTTGGGCCCTCACGGAACATTCCTGGCTCCTGCTTAATATCTCCTATATGAAATAAAACATATCTTAAAGGGAACAGTTTGTCTGGTACAAGTAGATACCTGGATGAAAAGGGATACGTGGCCTCCAATCCCACCACAGATTACTCGTCAGGAAATGGCTAAATTCAGACTCTCTTCACTGAAGTCCCACTTGTTTGTCCCAATCCTGTGATCTATGCAAAACGTATTTGCAACCATTATGCAAGACCTACTTCCGAAAGAGCACTCCCCCCTAAAAACTCAACTTGGATATTTGAAGAGCTTCTTTTGTATACAATAATTTGCACAATCTTTCATTTGGAAATGTAATGTATGCTTTATATATCTGCAAAACTATATTGACTGAAACGCCCTTAGCATGCAAATTCTTCTAAGAGAAATCTGACAGAGTATTTGGCTAGGATTTAAGCAGCATGAGCTTTATACATGGATATGCAAATCCTGCGGATAGACTGAGTTCCTCTTGGTCTTGCATATAAAATGGGCTCACCTTTAAAGTGGTTGAACTGTGCATTAGCAATTCTTCTAAAATGGCAAAGGCAAAAAAAAAAAATCTAAAAATTTATAATTAGGTTGTTCTTGCCAAAGCCAACAAAACACAAGTGTTTAACATGAGACGGTTAAGATAATCTTGCTGAGCAGTTTGCAGAACTGTCAACAGAAGAGCTCGGGAATGAGCTTACTTTTTCCCCCTTCTGCTAATGATACAATCCTTTATTTTCTAGCAAAAATACATCATACTTTCCTTTCTGCTTCGACTTGAAGCAGAGGATCTCTACTGAAAGTCCTTTGCTACACAGAATAAACTTTGTGTTAAATCTGATCCTCACCACTAAAACAAGCATAAAAAGGCATTTTAAAAACCACACATATTCCTTTTTAAATCATTCTTAGCCAAAGGGATGATATGACCATTTTGATGTAACTCTTAACTACAGAGACAAACATTACTGAAAGCCAGATTCTTAAACTAAGAACAGCTACTCAGTGTTCAACTTATCAGGCCAGCTTTTCACTATCCCCTGGTCATCAGTGCACTTAAGCCTTAAAAAGAAAAGCAAAACCAGTCTTTGGAGAGATTCACATAGCTTGGTCTGAGCAGTCATTAATGTCCTAAACTCAGACAACAAAAGATGAGGTTTTAAATGCAATAAGGCAGTGAGATAAAGGAGAGCCAACAGTATGAGCTTTGGGGAAATTCTTGGAAAGGGCAAAGGTCGTAGTAAGAGGTTGACAGAGTTAATCCTGAGAAAACTAGTAAATGCTGAGCTGATTCTCCATTGAGCTGAGGTAAGCTTGTTTATCCATCACTACAGCCATTTTCAGTTGCTACATTTTACTATGCTACACAAAATCTTCCCAATACACAAAATCATTATGTTGTCTGAAAGGAGCAACATGGGTATTTTCAACTTCTATGCTGAAAATACATTCATTCATTGCTACTTCCAACAAAATGGCAATCAGGCATATTGAGAGGATCACATGTAGGGCATTCTCCCCATACACATGATAAAACACAATGACTAAAGGAGTTTAATTCAAAGGAACGTGGATATTTAATTCCCCCTGCCCACTTGAGATGAAGGAGCGAAGACCACCAATTTTTTCCAAAGACAATAATTTATTTAACTTATTATTTGTTAATTTTACTCCACTTTTCAGCCCAAAATTGGCCCCCAAAGCTTCTTGCAGCAATTTAAAACCAACACAGATATAAGTATAAAATGAAAATGTAATTTAAAAGGTCCTGAGGGAAGGGGTTGGATTCAGTGAGATATAGGCCAAGCATGATGGAACGGTAGCTCAGGTAACCCTGGTTGGTTGTTGTTCTTCCTGTTTGTTTATAAAACTTTTATTAACTTTTAAAGAGTCTAACTATTAGAAGAAGCATTCTTTTACTTCATGAACACACAGGAAAGGCCAAAGCATGTTCTCACTGCTGAATGGGAAGTGTACCAGAGAAAATAAAGAAAATAAAACTAGGACTCTGGGGTCAAGCACTACAGGAAAAAAAAAGCAAGCCAAGATGAGACACTAAATAAAACCACAGTTAGCATATGTTTAGCTCCCAGGGCACCAGACTGACTTTCAGAAAAGTAATTTTTGTATGAACGGGGCAGCCCCACAATTGCTGAAGTTAGCCAAATCAAATCTAAGGTGGATGGGAGAACAAAACTTTGAAAATTGTACCTAAATGTGTTACCAGATTGCTCAAACTCACTCAGACACAGCATTCAGAAGCAAGAACACACACACACACACCCTTTATTGGCATTGACATAAACAAGCACTTCAATTCCCAATGAATGCTTTAGACAATATATATTTTCAGCCTTCCAAGCTACAAGTAAATACTGTTTGTACATTAATGAACTTGAAGAATGGAAAGCCGGGGGGGGGGGGGTTTGACCCCATCTGTGTCTCTCGTGTGACAGAAAACCCCCTGCAATAAGACAGCTTTGAAAGGGATGTTAAATTTGCGGTGACCAGAGCCAGGGCATTTTCGGTGGCGGCTCCTACCTGGTGGAAGGAACTCCCAGAGGACATTCGGGCCCTGCAGGATCTTTCTCAGTTCTGCAGGACCTGCAAGATGGAGCTCTTCCACCAGGCCTTTGAGTAGGAGCCGCCGCCACTAGTACTCCATCATTGCCACCTATGCACCGTCGCACCATCACCACGACTATCTGGTCCCTTTGGGGGGCGAGGTGCCCCTGCACGAAGTGGATGATAGATTTTGGTAAAGCTACCCATCTTGTGTCTAATTTTGTTATTGTATTTTACTGTTTTATATTATGTGTTTTTATTGTTTTAATTTTGGCACATTGTGCCCTTGTTAGCCACCCTGAGCCTCAGGGGTAGGGCGGGATACAAATCTAAGGATAAATAAAATAAATAAAAATAAAAATAAAACAAAGAACTCCAAAGATGTATTTGATCTGCATCACAAGCCTAACTCTGTAGAAAGACTGATATACATACTGAAGAACCAAACATATTGGATCATTCTATTGTTGCTTTCTCAAAGAAACAGTACAAGGTTGGAAAATGTGGAGAGAGCTGGCCCACAGAATTGCCAAGAGTTGGAAATGACTGAATGGCTAACAACCACCATCTTTTCTTAATGCTGGGTAAAGTTAGCAAAGTACCCTGTAACTGGATAGCTATGAAGGGTGAAGGCTTCCAGTTCCTTCCCATCCTTGAGAGACTTGCACAAATGGAGACAATCTTCTGCCCGCCCGCCCCCCCCTCCCCGCCAAGGGGATGGGCACAGTCCTGATCCTCACATTTTCCACACTTTTGAAAGGAAGGAAGTAAATGGTACAGCCTTCTTTTATGACTGGCTCCCATCCAGGAAGTTCTTTCTTAACTTTCCCTTGTTGGAAGGAAAAAAAAATCTGTGGGATGGGTAGATATAGCTAAGCCTGATGCATGATGAACCCACATTTCTTCACTATTATGCTCTTCTGGTTTTTTGGCTGCAAAGCAGGAAAGAGCCCGCTCGAGTCCTCTTTTTAATTTTAACTATTGTCCTGTAAAGTATTTATAGCTCCATACTTGCATGAAAGTTGCACTAAATTATCGTCTTAACCAATTAGGTGCTGATTTTGCCATCCACCCATTCCCAGCTTACAGAGTCCTACAGTTAATGTCCCATGGAATGCTAGCGGCTGCAAAAAAACCCACGTTTGCTTCATTATCTGTTCTTCCCACAGAATACATAGTGGATTCCTATCTAGTAATCAGAAGAACAGGGTACAGTTTAGAGGAAATTTAACACTAGTCACTCATCTTCCAAAACCCCTTTTTAAAAGAAAATAACTGATATTATATATTCAACCCTGCAGGTATAAGCTTCATTAAACAAAGTAATACAATATTTAATAAAGCATAGCCTTCACCAAACACACAGAAAGCCCTGAATAGCTCTATTGCACTCATATTCCATAATTCATCTCTTTGTGGAGGAAATAAAAAGACAAGCGTTTGCATTAGTCATCAGTAAATCCAGAATAGCTGCTTTCTGTTCTGCTTCGTTAATTACAGGATCAGCTTTCAATAAATCTCTAACAACAAGCTCTATGTGATCATCACAGCAATGGAAATCCTCCTATTACTTCTCAGAACAGCTAGAACTGCAGCACTTTATCTTGTCTCTGGGTACAGAATCTTTGGCTTGCAAAAATAGACTGACATCCTATTGAAAAGCAGGCTTTGGTTTCAGGAGGCAAAGGTCAGTCTTTGGTTAGGCATACTGCAAATGGTCTATTAAACAGACCTGAATTGGAATGCTAACCTTTTTTAAAAAAATAAATAAAAGACCCTTATCAATTATAACCTAGCATATAAGAGAGAGAAAAACCCAAACACATATGTGGATAACAGATACTGGCTCTCCTTCAAGTACGTTTATGAGTTTTTAATTGAATTATTTTAGAAGTTTAACTGTATCCTTAATTGTTTTAATATATATATTTTATGTTTGCCACCTCATGGACCATGATCGGGTAGAAAGACAGCATATAAATGTTATAAATAAATAAATATAAATAAATACAAACATACCGTCAAACTTCTCCGGAACAACGCAGGTATCATCATAAAATTGCCTTGGTCCCTTTTCATACATACAGCCTATAATTTTAAGAGAGATGGATTTATTTAACCACATAGTTTGGGAAAAGGGGAGAAGCAACTTAGGGCAGACTGCCTGCTAAAGCCGAGCTATGTCCATATGTTGGACCGGTCACTTTCTTCCAAACAAAGCTATTAATGTTTGCTGTAGCAAAAAATACAAGTCTTGGGGGGGGAGGGGAAGCAGCACTACTTCATACACTTAAATAGTTCTTTTGTTATTAAATTTAGTGTACAGGACTGGTGAACTGGAGAACAGTGATTTACAGACAGAAATGGAATCCCTGAATGTATTGAAAGAACTTCCAAATAATTAATTTGTGATGCTTTGCCATTACCGGACTAGCATTAAGTAGAGAACCATGCAAGAAATAAGAGAGCTGGCGAATGCCCAAGGGCTAAAGAGCTACAAAACAAGTTCATATGATTGCCCCACCAAGGAACATACTGGGTCGCCAGAGGCAGATCACTATGGGATGTGCATTTCCACTCAGCACGTACTCTGCACCATATTCTACCTAGAAAGCATAAATATAATTGTGTCCCCTCCCCAAATTCATACTTCTGATTCAGAGCTCTAGAAAGACCACAGCTCTTTGCCACAATGCGATTTAACTTCAGGCCTATGTGTAATTTCCCACAGTTCACAAATGTGCTCTTGGGAAAAATAACAAGAAGATCCCTGTAACTGTTTCATAACAACAACACATGCTTTTATCTTGGAAGAGACACCTGTCCCCAAAAATGTCTCCCACAGCACCCATGTGCCTTTTCTTTAAACATATATATTTTTTAAATTATACCCTACTTTTGTCTCCATTGGGGCCTACTGTATTACCATTTGGAAGTTTATGCTTTTATGTGTATTCCAGTATGGGCACGTAACACACAAAGGGATATCCTTAGCAGAAGGCCCATCCAGGTATTAGTGCCACACACCTCCTTTCTCTTTTTTGAGAATGATCACACTAGGCTGCTAAAGTCTGGCAAAGGTCAAAGCGTTACCAGCAATGTGCTGAGTTCTCTTGCATGCACACTCTCCCAGACAACCTGCTTTGGCAGCTACTTATTCTGCAGTGGACATTTTGCCAAACCGTCCTGATGGGGGATCCCAAGCAGCATGGAGACATACTAGATGAAGACAGCTTCACTGCCTCCCCACTCTCACTGCAGCCTTCTGCGCCCTCCAAGACTAGGAAGGATTTCAATCAGCCTATCTATTCCGTTTCAGGAACTGGTTACTACTGGGTTTTTTCCTGTCATTTCAGACAGACCCATTTTAGTAACCTTGTAACCGGCTGTTAATGGAATATATTTACCTATTCATACAATGCTGGTTATCTCCCATTTGGGAAGCATGCCTGAGGCATTGTTGTCGAAAACTGCTTTCCTCAGGTCTTCAATCCCTTCTTCTGGATCTGAATTGCTACAGTGGCCTGTGTAAAATGCCCTGCAGTGCTTCCTCCAGTGACTGTTTTTTTGCGCCCTTCCCCCCCCCCCCAGTGTGCGATCTCTACTTTTTTTTTAATGCTCTATTGGGAGCGCTATGACGCTGAAACAGGACATCAAATCAACGCCATAGTGCTCCCAATAGAACATTTTTTAAAAACCCTCTCAGGGACATCATGAGTGTGGGGGGGGGGATGGCGGGAAATGCTTTGTGAAACAGCCGTCCCTGTACCGATTTCCTCCATGATGGGCCAATAATGGAAACCATGCTGTTTAAAAAGGTAAAGTGAAATCCCTCTGGGCCAGTGGATTCCTGGAACAATGCAAGGGTCTACACAGGGAAGAGGAAATTGGCAAAAATTGCCCTTCCTTCCTCAGCAGACAGAAATCCTGTTGACAGATCTGCTGTTACACTCAGGGGTCATTTTCTGCAGGAGTGCACAGGAGCGGAGCTCCGGCAGTAAAGAGCTTAGGGGGTGGGCACATGCAACAAGCCCCACCCCCTGCTCCTAGCAGCCCTCAGTCAGAGCAAGAAGCAGCCAGGTAAGTTGCAGAGCCCCCC